GATCTTTAAGGTCTCTTCCCACCTACACGGTTCTATGTCCCCTTGGCCTGAGTAACAGAAACCTGCAGTGCTGCCTTTGTTGGTAGGTGTCTTGGCACTGTTTAGACTGCCAGAACTCAGTGTGCCGGAACTGCCAAAGTAGCAAGTAACCCTCTTACTTGGTACTTAGAGTCAGTGCTTGACTGTCATGAAACATTGCTTCTCCTGTCCAAACCCACAGCTAAAATTCTTAGTCCAGGTGTTCTGAATTCCTGGCATCAGTTACAGATGCAGCCTCACTTTTGGCTTTGCTGTTGCAAACACCTGTTTTGTCCGTTGCCCTAATTGCTTTGCTCCTTTCCAGCGCACTGCTGGCTCTGGGGCCTTGGCCAGCCTGCTCTCCCACACTTTTCAAAACCCTGCAGGTTGCCATTGCCTGGCTTGTGATCTTTTGGAAATGCAGCGAGGCTGACTCCTATTTCTTGAACCTGAGGCTGTGGTTTCTTTCTCTTAATTCTGTCACAGCCCTCAAAATTTCATCCAGGACTTCCACATGCTTGGTGGGTTTTCCCTGGAAAACCAAATTTGTTCTGCTTGCTTCTTTAAAACTTCTCTCTTCTATGATGCTTGCAAGAAATCCCAACTGATCCTATTACTTACCATGCTGTCTTGTTCCTGGGATATCCTGATCTATCTAGTTCTCTGCCTCAGTATCACAAGCACCACCAGCAAGCCTTGCAGACTGTGTTTTTGTTCTGATGTGTACGTCATCCAGGATGCTGGTATCTGACTGAAAACTCTCCTGTGTGTACAGTAACACAACCAGCAGGAGGAGAAGGGACTTGTGCTCCTTACAGCTGCTGCCCGAGTTCTCAGTGCTGCACTTCATTTGACTAAGCTCTTTTCCTTTTGCATCTCCTGTCTTCTTTTATAGATCCCTCTCAGAACAGTCTCTTCCCTCTTCAAGCTGTCAACCTTATGCATGCTGCTGCTTCTGTTCCTCATGCCCTGCATTTCTTTCCTTCCTTCCTGACTCTGACCTTCTCAGTTCCGATCAAGCAGTTGGTGATGGTCATGTTCTGCCAACTGGCTTGCTGACCTAGAGGCATGTGTAGAGAGATGCTTGAACCTACACTAAGCATGTATCTGCTTTTCCTTTTGCTTTTCTGCTTTTCCTTTTGCTTTTCTGCTTTTTTGTCCCATCTTTCTTAAAATCATAGAGAGTCTAGACCCTGCTGCCTAAACTGTTTCCAATTCCACGCAGTTTAATTGTTCAGAAAGCACTACATTTGGTTTTCAGACCAAGAAATGCAGCAAGGCTGACCTCATAAGCGCAGCCAGTAACTACCAGAAAATCTCCTCCTAATTAATTAGCTTATTACATGATTAAATAGCCATATGGCTCATCTCACTTTGATTCATTTGCTTCCCTCTCGAACTTATGTCTTTTGGATCAGGAGTTCCTCTCCCATAGAAATCCCTCTTCCCTTTATGTTCCTTCCTTCTGTGTTTTCCTGCCCATATGACTCTTGTTTATACTGACAGCAACAGAGAGGACATGTATGGAGCTTTTTACTTACAGAAAGCAGTATGGCAACAGTTACTAATTCTTCTGCACAATAAAAAGAAGTGTGTGTTTCTGTCTGTATATTGTTTAACTGGTAGCAAAAGAGGTGAAGCTCACCTGATGTAGTGGTAGAGATAGGAATAAAGGTCAAGAGCTTTTGGACTTCAGAGGTATGTTTAGTATGTTAAACAGTGCTTAGCAGTAGAAAGGTTTGAAATAAGATTAAGTTTCCTGAATCATTGCTAGATGTTGCTATTCATATTGCCACTGCAGCAGAGAAAGAATGTCCTAAGTGCTGAGTGATACTGCGTAAGGGAAGGAAAGAGGAAGCTTTTTGGGTTTATATTTTTGCAGCAGGCAAATTTAGCAGTAGAGGCTGGGTAAGAAACCATGCCACCCTTCCTTTTAAGCCTTTAAAATGTTTCTATCTAGGGCTGCTGGGGAGGGACAGGACCAAGAGTTTCACTTTTTGGTCTCTCATAACAAATTCCTTGTATTATGCTATTGCCCTTGGCAACTGGTGAAGTAAGGGGAAGGGTCATATATTCCTGTGAGAGGGGAAAGCAAATTTCATTGCTAAATGCCTGTTTTAAAAATATAATAACTTGGAAGACTACCCTGGCATCCTGGAAACCGAGCCTTCGTGTTTATCCATGAAATAAGTATGTGGCAACAGAAGTGGTTTAAATGCCTTAATTTTTGCCACTCTGCTGATGAAACTCTGCCCAGACTGGGAGTGAATGGGATGACCTTCAAATTTACTTACCACAGCTGAACTTTTTCATTTGAATTTTGGAGCAGGTTTTGTGTTTCTGCTCTTGTAATATGAATAACTTCAGGGCAGTGGCTTTCAATCTCTTTTGATTTGTAAATCCCAGCTCTTTTTCAGTGGTTTTGCAGACCCTGTCAGAAATCTCATATAGGCACGTTGCTGTATAATTATTTTTTCAGAGTTTATGGATGCCTTTAAACTGGTCTATGTTTTTTGGAGGAGGAGAAGGTGCAAACCACAGTTTGAATAATTGTGCATTAGGAGGCTTGTTCTGGAAGTGATTGTTTATTTCCAAACAACCTCAAAAAACCCCCAACATTGGGATTTTGTTTTGGGGTTTTGTGTTTGCTTCTTTATTTAAAATCAGTTAAACTAATCCTTTTCACCATTCAAAAACATGAGCCCTACTCCCAAATAAAATTAGATAACTCAACCTGAATTTATTTAAAATTTTATGTTCATTTTCCTTATGAGGCCAAGTTTTCATAATCTTTTATTTTCATCTGCACTCACCAAGTCTGTAAAGATGATATACTGAAGTCATACAATGACTTGATTCTGAGAGCTAAAATTTCAGAATAACAATCATCAGAGCACTGCCAACACGGTTTTGAGCAGCCAGCGCTGTGCTGTGAATCAGATTTCAATCAATAAACCAGAGGTGAAAGGCACTGCTGCTCATCCTGTTTGAGAACTCCTTTTTCTTTATTTACCATTCAGTGCAGCAGCTAGGATTTCTTCAAAACACATGAAGGTTAAGTGCCAAAACAACAGGCAGGTCTATTCTGTGAGGTATGGAACAGTGGTTTTGTGAAGGAATTGCATTGATTGGGGTTTGGACTTGATGGGTCAGCAGAGAGCTGTGCAGCCCTTCGCTGCCCATGAGGAGCCTGGCAAACAAATGTGGCAGAGCTGAGCTGAACTTGATTCTGACACAAGTGTTTTTCCTGTGATCACTTAGTCAGACACAGACCTTTCAGTGGCTAAGTGAGCCAGTAAAATCTCTATTAGTGTACTGGGATGTAGCTGATTATCAGTAGGCACAAATCATTTTCTTAAAAAATGTGATTATCTGTAGTTTAACCTGTCCTGTCAGTTGTGATGGATCTGCCATTAATTTCTACCTTTTTCCCCCTTTTTTTGCCAACGTTAAGTGGCTAAAAGCCAAGGTAAGAAGTGTTCTTTCTCCTTTGAACCACAGTGCCTCATGTGACTGATAGTAGAGGCTGCAGAGCCATTAAAACTGAAAACTAGCGCGCTCTTATTCTCTCCTCTGCTTTCCATAGGACATTTAGTTTAAACATGCTTTACTTGATTTTTTTTAATTTACAGCATTTAGCATGTGTCAATATATCTGTGATACATTGACATCTGCATTTATACATAGATACATTAATTTCTCTAACACATGTAGTGCTTTGCTCTGAATTCAGTAGATGCCTTGATTCCCTTCACTTACATTTTTGCAGGAGACTTCCCAGACAACCTAAATGACTCTGCTAGTCAAATAGCAGGGGCAGATTGAGAAATTCTGGGCCCGTGCTGACTGTATTGGACTGTCAGTGTTCAAGATTGATTTAAATTATTATACCTGAATGGAGATGAACACAAATGTAGCTTTCCTTTAAAGAAAAGAGGATATAAGAGATTTGTGCATGAACCTGCCAATTGCTTATCTTTCTGATGTCTATTGTAAATTAATAGCAAAAATAACATTAAACTTGTATTTAGACTCTTTATATTTACTGGTGTCTGTCTTGTGTGTAGCTGAAAGCTTGCTTTTTGACAGCTGTCTGGGAATTCTCACTTCATATTCTTACACTTAAAAAAAAAAAGCTGTCAATAATAGAGCTGTTCTGTTATAAAAATAAAATCATGTTTTCCCATATTTCAGCATGGAAATAACCAGCCTGCAAGAACTGGCACCTTGTCAAGAACAAATCCGCCTACACAAAAACCACCAAGTCCTCCCATGTCAGGCCGGGGAACTCTGGGGTAAGAGAGCCGACTGCTTGGTCCCGCCTGTGTAATAGAAAGCTTTCATTGTGCCAGTGTTGGTGTTGCTTAAATACATGGATAGATCACAATTCTGATTGCCTTTAGCAAAAACCACAGTTACCTTTTCTGTATAAGCCTTTTCAGTCGTGTTGACACTTATTTTCATTATGACCTTTTGAAAGAATGTTTCTTCATGGGGGAAGTATTTATTATAGATAGGGGTAAGTGTTGTTATTCCTGATCTTTGGGAAGAAATCTTGAGTGACACAAAAAAATATCAATAAGGTTTTAACTTCAGTGGGGAAAGACTTCATTGTTAAAGTTTTTGTCTACTCATTTCTCAGTATTATAAGATGTCTGAAATGGCTGTTGGTGCCATATTTGTTACTTTATCTATGCAAAATTAGTGTCATGCTGAACACATTGGCAGTGTTGATTCTCGCAGGGTTTGTGCATTTCTGTTTTTTATGCTTAAATGAGGAAGGATTTTGCTGTTCTTGAGTCCCACCCACTGTGACCAGAGTTCCCTGCCGTAGCATCTCTTTGCTGCTCTTGACCTGTGGGGACTGAAATCTGCTTATCTTGGTGTGCCAGCAGGTAGCTCTTACTAGAGATCAAAACATTAATACCTGAAAAGCTCAGCGCATGTGCCTTATGGTTTTGTCTGTCCAATGGTGCAGCATCTTCCGAAAGGCATCCTAAACAAGACCTTCTACCCATTTGTCACTCTCGGTCTTTCCTTTACTCTGTGGGGGACTGAGGTGCTGAAAAGCTGGCTGGCATGGTTGTGTTGGCTTCAGGTATGTTGTCTGGGAGAGGTGGGGAGCTGGAGAAATGAGGAATAATGAGACGGAACGGGATGGTGATCGGGCGCAATGGTCAAGGAAGATTAGAAGCAGCAACTCCTTTTGTCGAAGGCAGTGATTTTTTAATCCTGATTTGATGCTTTGCTGCTTCCTGATGGCAGTGTGTGTTGTGTATTCTGCAGAGAAGTTACCCTAGAGGTTTCCTCAGCATGTTTTGTGAAAATTCCCATTGCTCAAGGGCATGCAATCAGTATTCCAATTGTCTCTCTTATCCCAGCTGAGAGAGTGTTGTTTATCGGCTCTGGGAAGCTGGGTAGAGCTTTCATGTCCTCTTGGACGCATGCTAGTGAAACAGCAGTGTTGATGTACTGGTGAGCTGCCCCTCTCTAATGCTCCCCCCTGAACAAGCCAGAGCTGTTTGGTTGCCTTAGCTGATGCCTGATAAGGATTAATCAGCTGAATGTCATTTCCAGATGAGCTTGACAAGAGGCAGCAGTTGGCTGAGGGGGAGGAATAATGTGGGTTCCTATCAGAGATTTCTATCTGCCCTTCTTGTTCAGGAAGTACAGCTCTTGTCTTGAGCAGCCGTGTTCTGCCAAAGCATGAAATATCACGGGCATGACTGTTTCGCTAATATATGCAGAAAAAATTGCTAGAAACCGCAAGGATGCTACTCTTCTCCCTTTGATCCAGCGACCAGATGAGCGTGTAAAATCGGAACAAACTCGGTGTGTGACACGGGCCTTTAACTGTGTGCTGCCTGTTGTGCAGCTCGTCCCTCCAAGGCAGGTCTGTCGAAAGGAATGTAGTGGGGAGGGAGTGCTGCACAGGAATTGCATGGGCTGAAAAGGGAAAGAGACTGCACGAACCAGGGCTCTGCAGCAGACTGAGGAGAGACTGTAATCTTTGGATGCTCAGGTTGGAAGTACCACAGAATCGGGAATTGCTGGAGCTGGATCGAGGAAGTAATTGCAGTCATGCCTGGAGGGTCCTGGAGCAGAGCAAGACCTTGGGCTCCCTGTAGCTCTCCCTGGTGGTAACAGGCATCAGCACCGCACTGAAGCACTGGGGGACAGTGAGGTGGGGTGTCCTGGGCAGTGTCAGGAAAGAGAGTTCTCCTCTGCACGAGGCTGGCAGAAAAGCAAAGGGAAGGGTTGGAGTTGAGTGATGAAAAGAAAACAGTTTTGACTCCTCTGGTGCTTAGGAGTTGGAGTTCTTCAGTGAAGGTGAGAAGAACAAAGGAGAAACTGAGGCGTGTAGTGGGGGGTTGCTTTTGATAGTATTTTTAAATTGTACAGGCAAAATACATAGTACTACGGTGCCAAGTAGTAGCTCCTAGTGCCAGCGCGTTCCAGGGTAGAATACTTTAAGGCATTAGTTTCAAGGTTATTTCTGTTGGAAGCACATTTAAAATCTTCCCTGCTTATAATTTCATTTGGCAGTATTTAGAGCTCTAGCTCTTACAACTGGAATACACAGTTTCTTTATTTTTTTCCCACGACTGATCTCTTTTGGCAGATCTATAGGTGGTGGCAGTCTGCATATTAAAATCATCTGGAGTTCTTTATATAGACAAACTAATTTACAAACACCACGGAACATGCAAACAATGATGGTATTTTCATTTTTCTCTTTGAGAGGTTTTAATAATAAATGTTAGTTAGAATTTAGTACTGTTGTGTTCCATATTGTAAAAAGGAAGTCAGTAAGTTTCTTAAAATACCAGGAAGCTCTATAACTTACTAGCTAAGTTATAAACAGTAATTGAACAAATTATTAAATGCCAGTAGTTGTATTTTTGTTTTTTGCTTAGCTGGTGCATTGCCAAATTCCACATCTTGCAAGGGATCTCTTCGTTACTGGTGAGAACTGGAGTGCTGCAATTCAGTACAATAAACACACTGTTCTTAAGGCAGCATTGGGTTTGGAAAATAGATCTCAAAAGATCTGTGTGGTATTTCTGGCTTGGTGCAGTCTGCTAGGTGACCTTGCAGGGCTCTGGGCTTCACTTGGGCTGCAAAAAGGAGACAACCAAGCTCATCCGTGAGGCACTTCAAGATCTGCTTAAGTGACTTGAGATTGCTTGATTACTGTGTGGAACAATGCTACTAGGAAAAGCACTGGTGATTGCAAGTATAACTTGTTCTGTGAATCTTCCAGCCTTATTCCTGTCTTAATGAGTTGAATACCTTTAGCCAAGAATACCCTTGGAAAACATTTGGAGGGAAGAGGAAGGGGGGAAAAGAGGAAATTGTTATAGTGGAAGCGTTTGTCAAATGCAGTGTACTGGAAGGTAACCCCAGAATATTGTGTTATGTAGTTCAAAGAATGTATTTTGGGTGGTAAATTTAACCAAAAATTTAATGTATTTTGGGTGGCTTTTTTAACCAGTTTATGTGCTGTAGGCCAACATGCATAGATCTGCCTACGTAAGAGCACTTTAGAGAGCTGAATATGACCTGGCTACCCCACCCAGTGGAATTTGTTTAATATGCTGTGCAGTAATCTCTCATGATCTTCTGAGCCTTTATCTTTCTGACTTTAAATCTTTTTTTTCCTTGACCAGACGAAATACTCCTTACAAAACCCTGGAGCCAGTCAAACCGCCAACAGTCCCCAATGATTACATGACCAGTCCTGCCAGACTGGGCAGTCAGCACAGCCCGGGAAGGACGGCTTCCTTGAACCAGAGACCAAGGACACACAGGTAGAGCCTTTTCTCACTGTAGCTCTTCCCTGTCTGGCATGCTGATGCTCACTGAAGTCACAGCAAACCTTGGAAGCTTTGTGCCTGTTGATTTTTTGTTGAAAGGCAAAAGGTGAGTTATTCTAATGCTCTGCATTAGCAGAACTTCACTGTATTGTTGGCTTCTCTAACGTACAGAAGTGTCTTCGTACTCTATAGAAGCTTCATTGTATCCAGCAACTTACTTCCATAACCACAGGCCTTGTTTTGTATAATCAATTTAATTTGTTCTATGGTATTTGTTTCTTGAGAATAAGCAAAACTTCAGAATTTATGCACTTGCAAGGTAGGGTAGTGATGGGTCCTAATGGGTTTAAAACTGCATTATTAACCTCAGCCTAAAATACACTTTGGCTTTTTTTTTCTTTTTGTTATTTTCAAGACCACTAATTGCAAAGAGAAATTTCTGTTGATTAGAAACACTGTGATGAAGGTAGTCTGAAAGAGCTGATTGCTTTCTTTTGGCTAAAACTTAATGCTCATAATCAGTGCTAGCATGATAGAAACAGAAAATAAAACCTATTCACAGAGCAGGTATTGGCATCAGCCAGTTATTTCCATATGCTGAAGTGTTTTGATTAGAGTGGTATGTGTGAGTGTACCTTGGTTTTTTTTTATTTTGTGTGTGTGGGGGTTTTTTAATGTAATTTTTTTCTCAAGTTACAAAGCTGGATCTTTCTCTGGGCCTCTTGGGTGAGTTCATATGTTTTTTCCAGCTTCATTTTTATCATAGTCTTCAAACTGCAGGGAAAAACAGACAAAAAAATTCAGTGTCATTAGAAGAAAGAGGATAGCTTACTTTTTAGAGAACTTCTTTCTTAATTCTTTTTTTTAAACTCCCAGTAGGCATTTAAACACAGCAGGTCACTAATGGGGTTTGAGAGAGTATTTTGGACGCTGTTGATACGAAGTACTGTCAGAATGAAATAACTTCTAATAGTGGCTGCAGCGAAGATCTTGTTAATTTGTTTAGCTGGCTACCGCGAATGCTCCCTACTCTTGTCTCACAAGATCTTTTATGTAGACTGCAGTTAGAAATTCAGCCGCAACCATGGTGACAACATCAAGGTCTTCAGCAGAGAGAACACTAATTTTGAAAGAATTATCTTGGCTTCCATTTCAGGTCACTGCTTTTCTTTCTTGTAACAGTGTTATTTTCTTAAGATATACCTGAATGATTTACTCCTGACTCTTGACAGCACTGTTTCAAAGCTACCCAGGAGGGGTAAATAAACTAGAACACCACCGAGTACACTTTAGTGGTTGGGTTAAAATGGTGTTTTGGCTTCAAAACATCTTGACTACTTAGTTCCCTTTATATTATCCATTTAATCCATGTAAATTCAAGCCTTGGCCTAAGGAGTGCTCTTGTATAAGAATAAGGACAGATTCTGCCTGAATCTAGATTCTTTTTCAGCTCCCTCAATGAAAAGGAGTGTTATGGCCTCCAAAGGCATGTGTAGAAATGTTATCCAGTAGCTCAGTAGAAGTACGATTCTGTAAAAATCTGTATTGTCGGCCTCTAATTTGTATGTCATATAACAGTATTTAGATAAATTGTGACCTGACTGTACTGTTTCCTTTCAGCCTACCTTAGAAACAAACCTCTCGTACACCAAAAGTGTATGCGTGGGCCAGGGAGAGTATGATATACAGAAAACTGTCCACGCCGTACCCCACACCACACCCCATTCCACTTAGTTTATCATGGCTGTTCTCAGTCTGAACTTCTGTTCCCAGTAGAGGAAATGTTCCTTCACTTGATAGCATAAATAATCTTAAATAATTATTTACACTTTAGGCATGAACTCCTGCAGCCATAGGTTATTACATAATCCCTGAACTATTCCTGCAGTTGTTACTCCGTTGTCTAGAACTGGTATTGTTGCTTACTTTTTTATTCTTTAAAGCATTTATTTACACATTTCTATGCATAGTGATGTCTATCAGCTTAGCTAATTCCATTTATGAGCAGTGCAATGCACCCAGACTGGACAAGCTGCGTGCAATTTTAAGTAGAGGCAGAGGCATTTTATAGGAGATTTTCAACAGTCTATAGTTGAGTTAGGCTAGCAGAGCTCACACCAGAAGTGTGACTGTTGGTAAACCTTTGTAGGAAATGCTGTGTTAATACCTGTGGGTTTGTTTTATAGCGGTAGTAGTGGAGGAAGCGGCAGTCGAGAGAATAGTGGAAGCAGCAGTATTGGCATTCCCATTGCTGTGCCTACACCTTCACCGCCAACTATTGGACCAGGTATGTGGGGCTCTTCCCATGTTAAGGCTGTAATGTCGGTCGCTTGTGTTTGCAGAGGGATTTTGATGGAATATGACTGGGTAGAAACTGCCCTGAAGCATGGTCCTGGTCAGGAAGTCTCATATGAGTGCTGAGGGACATCTCAAGTTTTAGTTATTTACCGAAAGTACTTGCTGAACAATCATTTAAAGAATAGCGGGTGGTTAAAACACCTTTGTTGGTCCACCTATACAAGATAATCAAAGAGGGGAGGGGATAGAAGGAGATAAGTGTTTCCTTTTAAAGCTTGAGTATATTTTTAAATGTCTGTCTACAGTTTGGCATTTCTGGGTGCCCTTAGAAGCAGCAACAGATATTTACATGTTTGATGTGAAATGTTGTCCTCAGAAATAGCTTTATTCTGAAATAACTTTACCATCTGCATGTTCATTTACCATTTACATGTTCTTTTTTAAATTAAATAAAAGTCTTCACATAAAATACAGATGATGGCTTGCGAAAACACTGCTAGTAGTAGAATTCAGGCTTATCCACCAGTGGTGTTTATGCTACAGTTACAGTCTGAAGTTGCAAAGCTCTGATGGAGATCACTGAGAGGGGCAAGCGAACCGTGTGTGTAAGATAGCCCAGCAATAAGAGAACCATGCAGGATGTCTCGGCATCAAAATCACACTCCCTGTCTTTAAGAATGATAAATGGTGAGAATGTGTAGGATCCTTCTTTATTATAAGCTGACAGGATTATTATCTTGGTAGTAAACCAACTCAGTCACTTGTTTACTCTCTGTGTATTTTGTAAGCACCTAAAGCTAACTTGCACAAGAACACAGTGGAGTTTTGGTGTAATGCAAGTTTGCTATTGCACCTCCTGCATCTCTGCTCCGTGGATGACGGCCTTCACTCTCTTACACACATGTATGCTTTCCTATCCCAGGTGTTTCTGATCCTGCAGTGGTACAGATAGGCATTGAATCTTACTGTCAGTCATCTGGCATCCCGTAAAAATAAATGGGAATAAAGATCTGCAGGTACAGAACTCTGTGTAGGATCAAGGCCTGAGTTTGTGTCAGTTGACCAAAGTTGAATTCTGTATTTATTTGGGAAGCCCGTGCTTGCTTTTTTTTTTCCCCCTTTTTTTTTTTTTTGGATATGTGTGGTTTTTTTTTTTTTTTTTTTTAAATATATGGCCTAATTGGGAATATAAACTATTTTATTAGCACACATTTCTGTTCCTCCTCCTCCTGGAGCCCCGCCAGCACCACCACTGCCACCACCTCTCCCGATGGGCAGTCTGATAGGTGAGACTTGTGTCAATGCTGAAGTGATTGCAGTCATTCTGCATAATCAATAATCATCTCTTCCTAATGGACTTAGTGAGGGTGTATTTCCTTCTGTAGTGGGGTCTACGTGATTTTAATATAAAAAATCAGTTCTGGGATTTTTTGTTTGTTTCTGTTAAAACAAATCTAATCTCCACTAATTTCCTGTGGTTAAAGCCTCTGAAGGTAAATGCACAAGGTATGGAGAAAAGACTGTCAGGTGCTTGGAATCTCTGTTCCCAATAAAGCTGAGATCCAATTAGTCTGATCTGTAAGAACTCAGAGTCAGCTTGAATATTGGTATTCTGCTGTATCACTCCTGCAGCTGAAACTAAGCCACAACTGTTGCATTCTAGCTTAAAAACGGTGACTGATGTATGTACGCTGTCCTGTGGGCGTAAGGTGACCGAAAAGCAGAGGTGTCTGTCACAGTGGCTTGGGTTGGATTCTGTAATGCTGCCGGCGGGTGGCAAAGTGGATGACTTGAGGAATACGAACCAGCAGTTCTTGAAAAATTGCTGCAGGCATTACATACAGCCGTTAGGATGGGATCTAAAAGTTGCACTCTTAAAACAGGCAGGAAAAAAATAGCCCGCCCTTTGCTACCACAGGCTGATGTCAAACCTGTGCTATGAGACCAGCTTTGGAGGCTTTGACCCACGTAACCCTTTGCACTTTCCCTTACTGAAGTGTTAAGCGAAAGTGACTTTGGATAGCATTACAGGACTGCAGACTGCTGATCACACACTGTGTATATGTGTGTGTGTGTTTGTATATATTTATATATACTTACATAAGATATATAAATATCTACATAAAAGCACAGAACATTTTATTGCAAAACAGTCTTTGCATTTAAAAATTGCATTGATCCATGTGACCTCAACATGTGAGACTCATTAACTGGCGAGGTGCGATTCTTTTCTTTATGTCAGAGGTTAATCCAAAGGAGAACTCAAATCGTTTTATTAACCTTGACGTTTGTGCAGCAAGCATGTAGAAGATGAAAATGGGTGTTTACCCTGAAGAATGGGTGACATTTCTTTCTCTCAGCTGGCATGGGTGATTCTGATTTGTTAGCGCAAATTCCATCAGTATAAAAGTGCAACTAGCAAATGTGATTGATAAATGTGTGAAGTGTCTGAAGCTCATGACATCTGTTTTACTGTTTGGTTAGAGTGTCTTTTCATATTAGATGGGAGACAAGTTCTGGTTCACAATGGAAAACATTCGCTCTGAGCAGAATGTGGATTTTTTTTTTCTGTGTGCTTTTTAATAAAGGGTATTGCATGTAGAATCATTGAGATATGCTGAAGGGTTGGAAGCTGGTTCAGTCTTCCAGACCAATCCAGTCTCTCAAAGTAGTTCTCAGCATTTCTCAAATGCCCTTTATGTGAATGTTGGTTTATGTCCTGTGTGTTTCTTTCTCATTATTGATTATAACAGGGTTGTTTGTTTTCTGTTAATCTCCTGTTACTGGCCTTAAATTATTGGAGACCTGTAGTCAAGTATTTCCCGTGGTCTGGGCTTTTTTTCTATTTTCTGCATTCTGTCCCAAGTAATGCTCTGCTTAAGTCTTTTCCTTGGTTCCTCTGGCTAATGCTTTTCAGCTGCTCCGGGTTCAGCTCCTGGTTCCCAGTATGGCACAATGACCAGGCAAATCTCGCGACACAACTCTACCACTTCTTCAGCATCTTCTGGTGGATACAGACGGAATCCTTCTGTGACTGCCCCATTTTCTGCTCAACCTCATGTTAATGGCGGGCCTCTTTATTCTCAAAATTCAAGTAAGCTTCTGAGCTCTGAAATCACAAACTGTTTTGAGCAAAATGATTGTAAAAGCATGCATGGGATTTTGATTCATTTATGAAGAGCATCAATCAGATTACTGCTTTCTTTCCTAAAATAGAAGGAAAAACAAACAAGGAGAACCGTATTGAAGTTGTACAGTGATTGCACTATATGCAATTACACTGTTTTCCCCTCTGATTTGTTTGCTGTTACTCATGACAAGAAATTATGATGATTGCCTATGTAATTATAGGCACATTATACTTCGCATTTCAGGTGTGCTCGGCGAACATAAACTAAAATCAGCTTTTTTTTTGCAGGAGACCTAATATGGTTGTAGTACAGTCCTTCCACTACTGGGCTAGTCACAAGAGAGTACTGTCAGAGCGCAGTGCTCGTGTAACAGACTTTTCTCATTACACAGTTCCTCCCTGTCTCTGTCTCTTTCCTAAATCCTTTCCTGAGTCCCAAGTTTCTCCTCTGTTCTTAGTTTTAAACTTGAGCATTAAAGAAGAGCTCACTCCCTCTTTTTTTAGCAGACTCCTCCTCTGTGCTTCCACACTCGTAGTAGTATGGGTGGAGATGAACGAGGGAAGGGGATGGATGCCACGGGCAAGTCAGCAGCATCCAGCCTACCTACCCAACAGGGCAAAGGAGGTTCACTGCAGAGAGATCTGCAAAATAAGGGTCTGCTTGAGTGTTGGCAGAAAGCTGGTTCTGTCAGGAAACTTCTTCCTTGTAATTTCCATAAGATTTGACCACACAGAAAAGAGTGATAGTCCTCTGGTGGTTTCTGGTGGTGTTCTTCAGCATGCCAACTCTTTAAACTTCAAAGTGATACTGCTGTTAAACAGTGTTACTGTTTGAGTTGAAGATTACTTTGGACCAGTGTTTGCTGTTGTCTGCTTACTCTTAAGGAAAGAATGCACCACCGAGGTGAAGAGTGTTCTCGGTGGTTTAAAAGTGTGAGACTTACCAGAAAGCATTTTTATATGCAGGCACAGTGTACCTATCTTCTTTTGTTTTCAATCCTGATTTTCCTCCCACTCTCTCTCACCCATACTGGCCCTTCACTGTCCTCCATGCTCTTGTTCCCCCACATTTATTGACCATAACAACAGGAACTCCTTCCTGTTGAATAAACAGGGCTTTATGTCTGGAAATAGTTCAGTTGTTTTAAATGCTGTGCACACCACTGTTTCTGAATGTTTACACATCCAAAGCAATTTTTTGCTCAAATGCAGGTGCTGGTCCTTAATCTAGCCTCTCTGGTGGTTTCAAAATACTGATTGTCAACATGTTTTAAACAGTATTTTGATGGGTGCGGTTTTCTACTTTAAACTGTTTTCCTCCGTTTCTGTAACTGATGATTTTTTTAGTTTTTAATGCTACTGTCTTGACATTGAATCCAGGTCCCACGTTTCCTTAAGGTTTTACTTTTCATGCTAACAAATACTCTGTTTTTTCTTAGATGTTTACTTCAGTTTTGTGAAAACTGTTTGTTGTCCCTCTTTTATTGACCATTTCTCCCATACAGTTTATTTGATTATTGGTTTTGTAATGAACTAAATGCTCCATTTTTATTCATCAAACATTAATCTTAGTTATGGCTTTGTTTAAAACTGTTGCTTACTTGGAAGTACAGAACCTCTTTCAAATTTGATTCCAACTGGATTACCCTGCTGAATTCCCCTTTTCACAGGAATTACTCCAGAGCAAGAGAAATTCCACTGGGAAGGGGCACCGTATAAACAAATTGGCTGATGGTTTTTTGGTTTTTTTTCTTACCCCCTCTCCCTCTGCTTGCTTCATGGGGAGACAGAGCTAATGCTTTGAATAGCACGCCCCATTGCCACCATGCTTTTTAAGAGCGGAACAGCAGCTGTCAGCCCAGCATCGCTGACCTCTGATGCCATGTGTCTGGTATCTCCTTACTCCCCAGATAGGTACATCCTTGAGAGAAGATGAGCTTGCAGGTGCTTCCTGGGGGGCGCTGTGCGCTGGCGTAGCCAGCTGTAGATGGAAAGCTCATTTTTGCCTGTGCCCCAAGTGAAGCAGAGCAAGTCCCTTCACACTTGCACCCTCTGAGCTTCTGGGTGCTTGGCTTTCTAGTCAGCTGAATGCAGGGGCACGCCTTGCGTTTTGATCCTCGATTGGCTAACCACGAATTCAGCCTTGTTGGAAACACAAGCTTGAAGAAGGTTCTTCCACGTGCGTGTTCTTGTTGTTCTTTACATACTTTGTTTTGTGGTCCTTGTTACTGACGGCTGCTTTTGTTTGTTTCCTTTTTGTTTTTTTCCTTTGTCTGCGTGACTTTCCCTGATATGGTGTGTGTGTTGCTACCAGTTTCTATTGCTCCACCCCCTCCCCCTATGCCTCAGTTGACTCCACAGATACCTCTCACAGGCTTCGTGGCCAGGGTGCAGGAAAACAGTAAGTTTGGACAAGCTGAGCTGTTAAAGGGTAGAGCCTACTCTCTTCTAGCATGCATGGCTGGCAAGTCAGACTCTATTTTGTTTCCTTTTCCAGAAGCTAATACCATCTTGCACTCTAGTGTCAATATGCTATTGGAGCTGAAGGGCACACTCTTCAATAACTTATAACGTGCATGATTATTACTGACCCATTTCAGTTCTGAACTGCAAATTTATGATGGAAATAAGGTGTGAAATACGTAGCATATGTTTGGTGTGAATACAGAAATGTACCTTAATTAAACATAGTAATATCATGTTGAATTGTCCTGCCTGAAGCTTTTTCACTAGGGATAATTGATTAGGTTTTATTAGAAAGGCTTATGTAGGCTCCCAAAATGTGTACTGTGTAACCATTGACTCTAATGCTGTAGTGGTTTTCAGGAAGCTGTACAGTCAGTTGAAAGTGTGCAGTCTAACGATCCAATGCCATTACAAAGGAGCTTGTAAGGTACTTCTCTCAACAGTCTTTCATTCTCCATTTCTTTGTGTTCTCTAGTCAGATCATAGAATCACAGAATGGTTTGTGTTGGAAGGGACCTTAAAGACCATCTAGTTCCAACCCCCCTGCCATGGGCAGGGACACCTTCCACTAGACCAGGTTGCTCAAAGCCGCATCCAGCCTGGCCTTGAACACTTCCAGGGATGGGGCATCCACAGCTTCTCTGGGCACCCTGTTCCAGTGCTTCACCACCCTCTCCGGGAAGAACTTCTTCCTGATATCCAATCTAAACCTCCCTGATGATATCTAATCTAAATCTTTCCCTGCTGAGCTTACAGCATAGCTCTGCTTGTTAGGTTTGGGGGAGAGATGTTCCCTGGCTATGATCTGTGCTGCAAGGTGTTTTATACTGGTAACTCTGCTTTTACCATTACTGCTTGATTAATTTCAGGTGAGTGTTATGTCCCAAATGCTAGTGCGAGTGTCAAATTGTGTTCCTGGTCTGGGGAAAGCTTTGCTGTAGGAGTACATTGCAGTTTTGTAAACAACAGAATGAATGCAATGTCTGTAGGGCCTGAAGTAAGTATGGAATATTTTCAAAGTGTTGGGGAGCCATAGCCAAGTTTCCTGGGATCTCAGGGGCAACTACCACATAGTGGCTGTATAAGCTCCACCATATATTTAGGACCCCCCAAATGTGACTAGTGCTGCTGTTCAGCTTCCCATTAGAGCTTCTACGTGGTTACGTGCTGAGCGTTCCCCCGGAGAGAGGAGGCGTTTGGGTGTTGCACTTGGTAAATAGCAAGAATCGCCCTGACGTAGAAGAGTGTGCCACAAAATCGTGTTGGCGAACCCGTCCAACGTTCAAAGTGTAGAGGTAAACCTGCTTAAGATGAAGGTTGCAAAATGTCTTCACTTGCAGATAAACTTGAGAAAACTGACACCTGCTTCTGAATTGTTCCAAGTATTGTCCTCCTGGAGATCACACAGCCCTCGGGAGAGCGGAGGTGAAAGGGACAGCCTTATTCGTGTGTGCAGCAACACAATGCAAGCTGACTTGTGAATGAGATGGCAGCAAAAATAGCTGAAGCTTGAAATCCGCCCTTAGGAATTGTTCTTTTTGCTTTCTTTCTTTTAACAGTCACCTGGGTTTGGAAGTTGTAGAACGAGTATGGCTTTGAGCTGCTGCCGCCTCATTTTGGAGGCCGGGGTGCGTGTGGCCGTCTGCGCATACGCTCCGCAAAACCGGCTGTAGAAGCTGTTGAGTTCTGGCATTGTGTGCTAGACTTTATCTGCCTCATTTTCTGCAAGAAGTCTGCAGGGGAGTGGAGTCAGGGAGGCGTGGGTAGGCTTGTCCTTTCCTTACCATCAAGATCTGTGGGTTTGGAAAGCAACATCCTCTGCTCTGTGGACTTCTTCCAGAGGACAAGGACAGCGGGCTTAGAAACTGTGCAGTGCCTATTCTTTTTTCCTGCGCCCTGTGCCCAAACTGTGGGTATCTCCTTCGGAGAGGTTCTCCAGTGTGCCCGGGGACCACTGATCAGATGCAAATCCCCCTACTCTCACACCCAGTCCTTTCAAAAGGAGTCTGCTGCTCCCCACTTAAAGAACAGGGACGTGAATGCATACAAGAGAAGGTGTCTCAGTTTGGAGCTGAATAAATACTGGTCCTTTTACCCCTTCTCACTTAGGGTGTTTTTCTGTATGCTTCACCCTCCCTCCCTAGGAACAGTGATGCTGGAGTCTGCCTGTTTTCAGTTCAGAACCAGGGAAAGTCTAGATTAAAATCCAAAAGATGGGGATACTTCCATGGGGTGGCACTTGTCTAGTTCTCTGTTCCATTTTCTCCCCTTGTTTAAATGTGAAGTTGGATTGTTGTACGTGTTTCCCACACCGCATGCAGTTTCTGCACTGCGTCTCGGTTAGGGTTTGTGTTGCCACTTTCACGCTCACATTTCCTGCCCTCCTCTCTTCTGTTCAAATAAGCAACTTCACTGTTGAATAAATCCAAGGTTTTGCGTTTATTAAGGTAAGGATTTCTCAAGACCTCAAAGGATTGCTGTTTGAGTACGGGGTTTTTTTTTTCCCCCTGGCTGCAGATGGACATTAAGGGAAGGAATACATTTTGTGAAAGATGTGCTGAAAGCACTGCGCAAAACCAAGCCGTTCATAAACAGTGTTGTCCTGTGTCTGTGGTGGGTTAACGAAGCCTGCCCGTGAGTGCTGTTCAGTAACACGGGCAAGATGTAGCACTCAGTGGGCCAAAGACTTTGTCAGTCTGTCTCCAGGTGACATAAATGGGCTTCTGTATGGGAGAGGAGTCACTCAAGCAGTGGCAGGCAGTCTCACTGGTGGGGAGGCCGGTGGGATATACAGCTCAGCTTTGAGCTGAAGAGGAGCTGGGCTCACAGGTGAGGAATAGCATTAGCCTTCAAGGGGGAGGGAGGGGGCTGGGTGCCGTGTCAGCCAGGACACGGGAGCTGTGCTCGAGCCCCTTGTCAGGGGCTGAAGAGCAGAAGTTGGTCACCCCTGGGGTAGTGGCCAGGCAAACAAACTCCAGTGCCATTGTAACTAGCAGTAGCTAAAGCTCGCTCAGCGTTCTTTCCTTGCCCTGCGGCTTGGCTTTTTTGTCAGAATCAGTGTAGTGTGCTGGAGCTGCACATTCAGGAGCAGGTGCCCAGCCTGATGCCTTCTCCCAGTCAAACCCCTTCTACAGCGGTGGTTTTCAGCCTGTTGTTATGTGTGCAGACTCCCGAATCTCTGGCAGTTGCATCCTGTATTGCTGTGTAACAGTTAAGTTTAGCTTCCCTTCAGTAAGTGCTGGCTCCATAGTGCTTCCACCTAGGCTGGTCGGTGTGTAGTGGACCACAGTTCCCAAGGAATTGGATAAGCGATTTCACGTCTTGCGTCTGGGCTTGCTCTCTCTCTCCCCTTTGCTGCCAGCTGCTGTGAACGTTACTGAAAACTAATTTGATTAGCTGATTGTAAGAGTGGTTTTTACCGTAATGCCTTTCTTTTTCCTTTGCCCAAAGCAACTTGTAATTGTGCTGATTGGAGAGTCTCAGGGCAGGGATTTGACATTTTGGATTATACACTTAATTCCTTGAGCACTTTTTCCCCAAGAGCAGCAGCTGCCTGGTGTAGTTTCCCATTTATTAACTGAATCCTGGATGCATGCACACACACACAAGCTAGTCTGCGAGATAAGGGATCTGTACAAAGCTTCTCTTCTGCAGGATTACTTGGCTTTCTCTTACCTGGTGAAATCCTGAACACTAGTCTCTTCCCTTTCTTATGATCCACACCAGATCTTTTTGTCCCCTTAATGTTCACTCTAAGAGAGAAGGAATCCAAGGAAGCAGCGTTCAGAAATAAAGTGATGGTTGTAGATAAAGGATTTGGTAAAAAAGCTGCTGGTCCAGCCCAGAGGCCTGTTGCCTGGCTCAGAGGGTGCCACTCGGAGTCCTCCCATAGCTAACTGCTGCAGCTAGCCCCTCAGCGCATGGACCTCGGAGTGGGAAGCTTTCCTCTCTGCTGGTGTTCAGCTTATGCCCTGCAGCATGTGCTTTGACTCTAGTAGCGTTTCTACATAGATTTGGCCACTAATAACAAACGTAGCTGGACGTTGTAGCTGTTAACACAAAGCCTCTGTTTCTAATCAGTGCATGGTATTATAGTGCATGCTATGTGTGTTGTCCCCCCACCCCTTTTATTTCCAGTGTCCAGCCTCAGGTTTGTTTGCATCTCCCTGCTGTTTTGCTATAAGAAAAAAAATAATCTCCAAACGTTTCTAGTTGCTGATAGCCCGACTCCACCCCCCCCGCCGCCTCCCGATGAGATGCCGATGTTTGATGACTCTCCTCCTCCTCCACCCCCACCCCCCGTGGATTATGAGGACGAGGAGGCTGCAGTTGTGCAGTACAGCGATCCCTATGCTGATGGAGATCCTGCTTGGGCACCTAAAAACTATATAGAGAAAGGTAAGAGAAACGTCGCTTGTTGCTGCGGCCAGAGGAGTCGTGGTCTCTGGAGGGAAGGGCGGGCTTGGCTTGGGTGTGATGAAGGCAGGCATGGTCCCTGCTGAGTCAGAACCCGAACCATTCTTTCCTTAGTTTGTCTGTGGCTACAGCTAATGTGATAAGATGTAATCCTTCTCTGGGAGGATTATAAAATACCTTCAGGCATTCTAGAATGGATTAAAAAAAGCGCCTTCGTTATGAGAAGCAGACGTAAATTGGATGGTTTTCATCCTTGCGGAACTGCTGGGCTGTGTCTGCAGCCACCTCAGGCTTGCTGGGCAGTCATCTAGAAACAGCGTTGCAAAAAGGCCGGGAAGTCCAAGATGGGTTTATCCCATCAAACTAGACAGCTGGAGTGGATCGTTAGGCTTCAGCTGTGAAATGTAGTGAGGCTTACCAGTGACTCTGGGTCAGCAATGGACGGTGCTTAGGTGTGAACTCTCGTAGCACACGTCTCTTCCCGTGAATGGCTGAGGTGCCGATTGCCCGCCGGCAGCGTTGTCTGTGTTCTGAACAGTGCTGCAGCTTTGCTTGTGCCCTGGCTGGTACTGTGGGGTACCGGCGATACCCGTCTTGGCAGAACTGCGTGTGTTCCAGCTTCACTTCTAGCCCGACCGTGTGCAGGATGTCCCCGTGGGATGAAAACAACCGGCACACCGCATTGTTGTTTGCCAGGCGTTAACTCCTCTGGTTTCTGAGAACGCGTACGTGTAAAAGAGTAGGTTCTTGGGGTTCGTAGAACTGAGCCGCTGCAGAAATCCACATTAACGGTCGTGAAGGGCGAGGCGGTGATGGCCGCAGTTTGTGCATTCGTAGTGGTAGTTTGTAATTCCAGTGTAATCGGTGGGGACGTTTCCTTCCCTTAGGGAGACCTCTGCTTGGCTAATTGCAGGCAGTGAGCGGGAGGTTGGTAGGAGTGTCGTATCCACCGAGCCGGTACTGGGCAACAGCTGACGTTGCTGTGAATTGCTCCTGCGTTTCCCTGCCGCGCCGTCTAGGCGGGCACTGGCGGCAGCTCCTTGACCAGCAGTGCCAAAGCCGCCCCTTGCACGGAAGCTCCGTAGCAAAGGCCACCCATGCGTGCACGGGGCCTTTCGGCAGCGCTGGCTACCAGACCACGCGCTGAGGCACACGCTGTGTAGGCGCAGCTGCAGGGGGCCATCGTGTAGCACGTTCCTTCCCTTGGTTCATTCCTACAGAATGATTGCTTTGAAAAAAAATACTGGGTTTTTAGGCTTTCTCTAATCCAGAGATCCCCACCCAGGGATCTGTATGCTTTTGGGGTGATCTGGCCAGAGGCGACTGCCACACTCACGGAGCCAGTTAGTTCAGTCTTCCAGCGTCCCTGCGCTCCACTTTACGACCGTGGCTCTGTCCGCAGCCTAACGGCGCGCCCAGTGCAGTCACCGCCCCCTCCTACCGGTAGCTAACGCGGCAAGAGAAGTGAGATTCCGTTTTCTAGACTTGAATGTTCAACAGGGAAGGCGTGGGAACGCACCACGGAAAATCCCAGGATAGCAAACTAGTCTTTCAAGGAGTAACCGTGCTTCAGGTGTTCACAGCAGGGCTGTTAACTAACCGTGTCCCTGGTCAATCCACAGTGGTTGCTATATACGACTACACAAAGGACAAAGACGACGAGCTGTCCTTTATGGAGGGTGCAATCATCTACGTGATAAAGAAGAACGACGACGGCTGGTATGAAGGAGTTTGCAATCGAGTAACTGGCTTGTTTCCTGGGAATTACGTTGAATCAATCATGCACTATGCCGACTAAAACCCTTTGCTTTTCAAAGTCGGGTCTTGTATTCAGTCGTACCGTGATTATTTCCGAGGGGTAACTAAAAGCTAACAGAATTGTCTTACTGCGCTTTCGAACGAACGCGCCCGTTCCTTCAGGCCGCACCGTTTGACTGGTGTGATTGCACGTCCGTCTCTGGAGACAGGTCATCCTGCCCCACGGCAGGCTGTACAAGCAGCGACCGTCTGTACCTGGTTATGCTGATTTACTTACGCGTTGTTAAGTTCACGACCGGCTGAAATATTTCTGGGGAAGTAGGGTGTAATATTTAATGAACCGTGATCAGATCGTGCCATTCCATTTTCCAGTACAGCATGGTAACTAACACTACGTTAGACTAACGCATTAAAATCTGGATGAGGAGTTTAATGTTAGTGCTGGTCATCCTACTTTTCGTTTAGACTCTTTGCTCACTCTTGAACTCTGTTTGTTTAAAGCATGCATACGAACTTATGTATTGAAATATACTTTTTTAAAAATCCAAGATGCTTCCAATCGTTGTAATCTTTACCTGGAGTGCTCTCACTGACGTCTACTACAATGAGTTGTTTGGGTCTAAGGTGTCCGTGTGCATCAACAACAATGGGTGGTCTTATGTATGTGTAATTTGTACCCGAGTTTTTTTAATGAGTAAATTTACATTATGACTTTTTCCATTCATAAATATATAAGTGAACCAAAGGTCTTGTCCATTACTTTGTTGGTTGGCTTGGCAAAGCAGCTTGGAATGCTGACGTAGCGGAACGGCGGCTGTGTTATCCCAGGCGATGTACCGAAAAGCAGATGTTTGTAACGTGACTTTATCACTGACAGGGCAAATAAATCGGATACCAAACCTGAAACACACATTCATACATCCTCTTAGAAGTTCTTTCCTTCCAAAATTCATTTTAGCAAGGATTCCTGATTGAGCCTAGTTATCTGAAGCGCAGGAAGTCGGACACCACCGGGAAGGGGCATTTCCCCGTGGAAGCTGCGCTGGCTCGGCGCTGTGCCCGGCTGAGCAGAGCCGCAGGCTGTCCTCGGGCTAAGGCATGGGGGGGCAGACACGCAGGGAACGTAGCCCTGGTTTAAGGGCTCCCGGGCAGAGATGCCGTACTTCCCTGCGCTGCCAATTCCACGGCTTCAACCGCCTGAAAAGGAATGTGGTAGTACGGGATAATTCCCGCGAGAGGAATGTGTCTGGGACTTCAAAGCAGCCTTCTGGGAGGAGGGGATTGAATATACCCTAAAAACCAGCTTCCGTATACCCAGTCCCGGGTACGTCTGCAGCTTAACAGCCGGGGCAGCCTTCCGAGCAGGGGTTTAGCAGGGAGTAGTACGCGCCCCCCGTTCACCCGCGCGAACACACGAGATTCGGAACAGCTTCGGTTCTCGTACACTGATTTACGTTTATTCTCGCTGTGGCCTTTGGCCATCGACATGTAAACATCTTCCCCATCCCCCCCCACCCCAGTTAGCAGCCCCCACTAAAACGGTTGCACAGCACGGCTGGATTTGCTCCAGATGGGATGGCTTCCCACAATAAAATACTTTCAACGTTGGCTTTTAAAAAAAAGTAGAACTTCCAAAAAAAAGGTTTCTTTAAAAAAATATCTTTTGGTAGCCTGTGTTGGAAGCAAAGAACTCTTGGAGTCGGTTTAGGCACAGTCTGGTACGTAGCTGCCAGAAGGAGCGGGAGGAGCTCTCTCACTTGTCTCGCACGAGCACCATTTCCGTCAGCTGGATGAGGGCCTCTCTCTCGGGGGACGGCCGCAGTTTGCTGATCTCCCTGGTCGCCTCGTGGCAGTAGCGCCGGGCGAGGTAGGTCGTTTGCTGCACGCCATCGCTCTTGCGGGAGAAGACAAAGGTAACGGGTACCTGCTCAGCCTCCCTCCTGCCTTCCACCCCGTCCACTCACAGGGGCAGCTTTACCCCAGGAGTTTACCCTGAACGTTAATTACACTCGGAAGGGCAAGGGAAGAGGATCCATTCTGTCGTCCCCGCATCCTACATCTCGTCCCCAGGGCGTCCAAGTACTAAAAACGTTCACAAACCATCTCTGCTATTAATGACGCTGCTCAGCGGGATTAGAAACGGTTTACCCCTCCCCTCCTGCCCTGGAGACGTACAAAACCCCATGCTATCCTGAAGAACTTGGGGATTCATTTTGCACAGACAATCCCTCGGGCTTTTCGGAGCAGAGCCGACGGGCAGCGTACACTGCAGTTACAGACTGACTGGTGACGATGTGCCGCTTACACCAGCTGCTCTGCTGCTCAAGGCACCCAGTTCATGCACGAGGTTTTCACCCTCATTACGTGGATTTTAGGGTATTGGAAGAAAAAACAAAGCTCTTTGATGCCAGCACTTCTGTTAAAACACGGTGCCAGGAAGAGCTGATGAGCACAAACGGTATGGCGCACCGCATGCTACGTAACGCGTACGCGCGGCCCTGCTGTTCTACTTCAGAGAGAACGCGTTTCAGACTGCCTTCGGCAGGGAGAGCACTTCGGCCATGAAATAGCTGGTCTCGGTCCTACCTGCAACACGTATTTCCGAGCACGTTCGACGTCTCCTGGCTTACTGAAGCGTCTCATTATCATAGCGTTCATTTCTGGAAACTAAGCACAAAGGGAGAAGGTTTTGTACCACTCGGGAGTTGTTCTCCAGGTAGCTGCCTGCCATGCTGGAGTCAAACAGAAACCAAAGTGCAGGCTTCATCCCCTGCCGCTGTTGTCACTACGGGTGGCGCTACAGCCGAGTACAGGACTGTAGTACAGCAAAGCCCAAGCTCGTGAAGCTGAAACTGGCTGGCTCTGGTGGCTGTAGCCAGTTGGTAGCGAAAGGCAGGACCTGCCATTGCACCACGCTGAGCAGATGATCCAGCGTGGTCACTTCTGATGGGGCTGCTTCCAGGTGCGTAATCTGGTTCAGGTACTCCTGTGGCACAAGTGATGGCAGTGCTGGCACACCCAGAAGCAGCCCCTCACGGCCCACGGGCACAAGAGCGCACCCAGGAGGCCTGTTCCGCCTGCATGGCACAGTCCAGCCCGTCAAACCTTTCCCGATGCCTTTAGCTGCTACAGCCACCTCGGCTTTCCATTGCTGAATCATTGCCGGCTTTCCATCCAGAATCAGAAAACCTGGTGCTTAACAGCCAAAGGCCACAGCTCCAGGCAGCTGCGCTGCACCAGAACTCTCTGGAAAGGAAAGAGGCGTTTGCTCATCTTGTCTGAACAAAGATTATTTTCTCGCCATATGCTTGCGAGCCATAGCCTGCTTTCCTTGCACACCTTTGGTCCCAAAACTGCCCATCTACAGAGCTGCCAGGGAACACACGTGCAGTATCCCTCACGGCTGCGACGCTGCCCTCGTACTCAGAGGCAGCCGCCTTGGACAGGTGCCTTAAGTTTGCTGGTGGAGCACACTTGGCTTTCTCTAGACCCCACCCTTCTTCCCATGGGACGACAGTTCATTGCAGTGTTCGTACTATTTATGTTTACAGTGATCCGGGATGTGCGGGCTTTCGCGCTTTATGTCCCGTAGCACCCAGACATACCAAGCCCCGAACCTGTAGTGCAGAGCTGCTACTTGCAGTTCTGCAGGTTTGGCAGGCAGCACACCGGCATTTGGCAGGGATGCTCAGAATGAAAGTAACCCCTCTTTCTTCAGCTGTTCCAGTGTAGGAGCGGCTTCAGACAGCATAGACTAGTGTATTTCCTTAAAAAATAAGGGTTGTGGGGTTTTTTTACTGACTGAACTAACTTAAAATACTGAGTAAGTATGTGTCAGTCAAGCTACACATTTTCTATCAAGTCCTCTCCTTACTATTCTAATGGACAAAGGTGGATTTCAGAGGGAGGGGAGAGGACAAGAAGCGGTGAAGGCTGTCACTGAGGAGCTGGAGCACATCGAGCACTGAAGCACGTTGACAGCCAACCGTATCCTGGGCTGTATCCGGAGAAGTGTGGCCAGCAGGTCGAGGGAGGGGCTTCTCCCCTTCTACTCCGCTCTCCTGAGACCCCACCTGCAGTGCTGCGTCCAGCTGTGGAACCTCAACATCAGAAGGATTTAGACTGGTTGGAGCGAGTCCAGAGGAGGCCACGAAGATGCTCAGAGGGCTGGAGCCCCTCTGCTATGGGGACAGGCTGCGAGAGTTGGGCTTGTTCAGCCTGGAGAAGAGAAGGCGCCGGGGAGACCTTACTGCAGCCTTCCAGTACCTGAAGGGGCCTGGCAGGAAGCTGGGGGGGACTTTTTACAAGGGCCTGTAGTGACAGGACAAGGGGTAACGAGTTTAAATTGAAAGTTGGGAGGTTTAGATTAGATACCAGGAAAAAATTTTTCATGGAGAGTGTGGTGAGGCACTGGCACAGGTTGCCCAGAGAAGCTGTGGATGCCCCATCCCTGGCTGTCTTCAAGGCCAGGCTGGATGAGGCTTTGAGCAACCTGGTCTAGTGGAAGGTGTCCCTGCCCATGGCAGGGGGGTTGGAACTAGATGATCTTTAAGGTCCCTTCCAACCCAAACCATTCTGCGTTGTCCAGGCGACAACATGAGGCTTAACCAGGTGTGTCACAGGGTGTGAGGAGAGCTGCAATACTCCCTTCCAGAGAAAAGACAGCCTACAGCTAACAGTTCCAGCCTGGACTGTCTGCAGTTCCTGGCTCAGGGGGTTTTATTCTCAGATCCAGATGGATGGAGCATCTTTTGGCAGCAGCGCAGACAAGCGTCTGCTGAAGCTCTGAATTCTCCTTGGCACCTAGGAAACATGTAAGCAACTTGTAAGTCTGTAGTGCTGTTCTTCCAGTTTCTTGAAAACAGCGGGACATTTTCAGCAAAGAAGCCCCCGTTAATGCAGAAAACTCCGCAGGAGTTATCCTTCCGCGATAGCAGGACTGCTTGATGTGTCCCAGATGGGCTCTCCTCAGGTGAGCCGGAAGCTTGAGCAAGGTGCATTGAACCTGCTTCTTCCCCTCTCCTGTGTTAACACCAATTCTGATGTTTCCTTTGGCACTGCTGGCACTTCTGTCATCCTCGTGCTCCTCCAAATCACGGTCAAGCCACTGAAAATCTTCACCAATTTTAAGCTTATTTACAATACTCATTTTTACCCAAACTACTACTACATTTAACTTCAGAAGGGAAAGCTTCCACGTCTGTAACTGCCCAAGACTCCGGGACAAAGGGATGAAGAGTGCAAACCCAACGAACAGCGACACCCACATAAAAGCTGGGCAGATGCGAGTTCTCGGCCCTGGGATGGATGCAAAGCCCAGCCCCTGGCAAAAAGGCTACGTCCCTAGTCAAGCCTAGGGAGAATAAGGTGTCTCTGGAAGGAACACAGGCAGGAAGCTACTCAGGAATAACCTAGAGAAAACATGCAAAATCCCTCTGAACACCTGCCCCTTTGTGAGGCTCAAGCACTTGAACCGGGTCCCAGTGCTGCTCTTGGTACAGGGGCCTAGTGGCAAGAGGACTTGGGTAGGAACGTGTTTCCCAATCCGAAAGAAAACGCGTGCGCACACTGAATCTAGCAGACCTTGAACGCACAGATTTTTCCCAGGCGCTCATCGCTTCTGCTGTATACTCGACGTGTTGGAGCTGGACCTCTCCGCGTGCTGTGCAGAGCGGCGTCCGCTTCCCGCTGACTTACCTGTTGACAAGCAAACAAGACGGGGCCCGTGGCTAAGCCAAGCTTCAG